GGTTCAGGCTGTGATGGCCCCTTGGCTCCAGACGACCTCACACAGACTGTGCTCTTCACCCCTGCCTGGTTAAGGCATTAAACTGTGATGGGTGAATCGCAGACAAAGGATCCAGGTTTAGCTGCTATAAATCAGTGTCAATCTGCTGAAGGACTGGTCCATAAATTGCTTTTGTTTTTGTGTGAGAGGGTGAAGTCCACATGGCAAATTAGAATATAAAATGGTGCACATCATCTCTTGCACCAAAGTAAACAAAGGTATGGGATATTATGCAAGAGACAAGAAAATCACTCTTACACTGGAGTATGTTGTTAGGGAAACTTGCAGCACCTCCAGCATAAAGAGAAGGGGTTTCTCAAACTTTGTGGGGCTGTGGGAATGTACAAGTGTAATTCCTCTGTTTATGAAGCACCAGCAGTGCACGTATCTGAGACCAAAACTGCAGGGTTAGATGAGAAAGAACCAGAACCCAGCTGGACACAGGCATGAGCAGCAGCCACGAGCTTCTCCAAAACCAGAACACAAAGTGTTGAAGCAAGCAGGGTTAATTTGGGCAGTAAGAGAAGTGCCTGAAGAGGCACTGCAGCCATTCCTCCCTTCGGCGTTTCTCTTCAATGCGTAGACTCTGTTCTCAGCTACACAACTGACAGGACACAGGAAACTTTTTACAAGTACATTTTTATTTAAAATAAAAATTAATTATGGTGTCTTTTTAAAATAGGGTACTGCACAATCTGTATATGCAACACAGTTTTTGGTACAGAACATACTTATTGAGCAATATGCTTAAATACTAAATATATATTAATGGCTTGTTTGAGAAACATGACAACATTAATTCTGATATTTCTTCTCTTTAGTCATTTAACCACTGATACAGATTTCCTATAAACAATATTTGCTTTCATCTGTACATGTGGTACACAGTCAAGAAGGCAGATTTTAGAATATTTACATTCATGCATTGATTTAAACACACTATTTTGCAGTTTAAAATAATATATTTTTGTTTGTACAGGTGCAGAGAGTATTGTAAATACATATCTACCATAGGCCTGATTCTCCATTGCTTGGCAGCATCTATGGTCATGACCTGGTTGGAGCAGGAGGCCCACACTTGCTTCACATGCTGTGACCATATGGCATGCAAGACTGGACAATTAGGTCTCTGTATAGATATATATCAATATATTTATATCTTATACTTAGTAGAACTCTCTTTCCTTCCATGTCTGTTTTTGCAGGATCTATCCAAGGTAGAGACGCTTTCCTGGTCACACCGCTGTGTCAGGTCTGAGCCAGGAAGGGTGGCAGGACTGGGGCTTCAGCTCCACCTTCCTGGCGCTGCTGAGGACTGAGGAAACTCAACAATTTGCAGCTCAGGCCCTTAAAGTGCATTCCCTGCTTGCATCTGCTAGTGGTGATCCTCAAGAAGAAGTTTTGAGTTGATGCTCTCCCTTAAACCGAACACAGCAGTTTTCTGTCTGGGGGTGGTCAGCGCAGAGCATTTAACTTCTGCATAGAGACTGGCCACCTTTGCATCTGCTGGGGATCTGGCTATTTTGTGAACGGAGCTATGCAGGACCTTTCTATGCCTGATATTTTGGTGGCTAAAAATAAAGTCAAAATGCTTGTAAAGCTGCATTGTGGATTGCCAGTTCCCCAGATCCAGGGTTACTGCTTAGGGAAGCTCTTATCCATCAAGCCTATTCCTTTCCCTTTTTATTCAATTATATTACAATAAGGAAGCACAGAAGCCTCTTTTATAAAAGCTTTGCAAGTAGTCTGTAGAGTGTTAAGCACAACCTTAAACCACATCAGAAAACTTCAGAAATCATTCTCCAACGGCAGTGCCTTTCTGGCCTCTACTTTCTGAAGACTTTTGCTTCCAGTATACTCTTCCAAGTGCTTTTCTGAAGATCACCTTAAATTTTGGTGCACTGTAGTCAACTGTACTTAGGGAGGAATCTAAGGGCAAAACTACCCGGTGCAGGATTTCCCATGTCTGCCCGCTGTGCAGATGTGTGAGTGCTGAGAGCAAGGCTCTGGACAAGAAGAGGGGCAGCTCTCAGCCTGCCTGCTGCTGCTCTTCTGTGGCCAAAGGACTTAAAAAAACCACACTGGGGAATGTATGTTTATGAAATATTATGGCAATTATATGCCCAAATATGTTTATTTAATATCAATAGGTTGGATATAATGATAGTGTAAATCTGCCCATGCAAATAGGAGACATCTATAGCTCTGAAAATACTGCCACAGAGCTGGTGAAGATTTTTATCCTGATTATACAGATGGGTAAATTGAGGCACAGAGAGGCAAAATTACTTGCTAGTAAACAGCAGATCAGTGGCAGAGTTGAAACTAGATCCTAGTCCTCATGTGCTGCTCCTTGAAATGCCCTGCATCCTCTCTCTCCATGAAGTTTTAAATGTTCTCTTGAGGAGACCTCAAGGAGCCTGGGGTGGGTTTGCTTCTGGGTTATGTCATGCACCAGGGATTTCTCTAGTGAAGACGTTTTACCATTGACATCACTGAAAATCAGACAGCGTCCGGTGACCATCTCTTTAGACTTTTTCTTGCAAAAAACAGACACATTTTGATGGACATGAGCTACAAATCCCTTTTGTGATTTTGGCCTTACAGAACATGCCTTTAAAGCTGTATTAGGAAATCAATAAAATCAACAACCTTTAGGAGAAAGTGCTAATCCTGAGCCTGTATCATGCTAAACTCATCTGCATTCGTACTTCATACTCTCAGCTAAACATGCAACCAGTCTCAAACTATGCCACATGTAGGCAGAAACAGCTGGAGTAAAAAAAAGAAAGGCAAACATAGGTAACTACACCAAAATAAATGTTATAGCTTAAAAATATTCTAGAAATATACTTGCAATATTTTTATTATACTATTTAGGGGATAAGTGCTTTAGGCAATCAACATTTGGGATACTAGACTCAAAGCCATAAATTCTGTCATTTTAATCTCACTTTGGATCCAAGAACATACCACTGTGTCTTGTGCAAGCACACATTAATATGGCAGGGAATGATCGTACTCTTGGGCAAGGGGTTACTTACTCCCTTTCACTTCTGTAATTGCATTCACTTTTCAAGAAAGTCTAGCCTTTAAAAAATAATTTTATGTAGCTAAAGATCTACATAGTGATGACAGGCTAAAAAGCTAAATGAGTAACTCCATAAATTCCTCAACAGCCGTATATAGCAGCATTTCGTTTTATAATTGAAAAGATACTTATATTTACATACACCCTATTGTTCAATAGGTAATAGAAAACTAGAGGTGGGCCTGAGCTGAAACTGCTGATTTGAACATCCTGGAGCTTTTTTGGGCAAGGTCTGCAGAACATCGTCTTCCTCTACCATCAGCCCAAACTCTACATCCCGGTGATAGAACAACCGCAGACAGGAATGTGTTCAAAATCAAGGTCTGATTTCTGCAGTTCAGGCACATCCTTATATAAAACTGAAAGCATCGGTGTGCTGCAGTACCGAGAGACGCAATGGCCGGGGTGCAGCCACATCCCAGAGTGAGATGGAGTCAGCACCTGGGAGTTACTCACAGACATGGAGACTGAGTGGTATTGAAGCTTGATGTCCAGACAAGAACCCAGGGTGGAAATTTGTCTTTCACTGCATCACTGCTTTCAGCACAGAGGTAAATGACGACATACATGTGGAGGTGTGACATGAAGGAAAGTTTTCAGGAGATGGTGAAAGACCAGCGTCTTGGCTAGTCTCATCACCTTTATCCTAAGGGTTACTTACTGAGTCTAACCTGAGATCCTACGTGGAATGAATTTCGGTGGATTCAGCTTTGCTTTAAGCAGCCTGCAATCCACATCATGGAAAGTACAACACTAAGCTATTATGTTGAATTTGGCACAATTGGCAGTCTCTGACCAGGAGAGGCAGAGACTGAGTTAATGTGGGCACAACCAGCTTACCAGACCCTCAAAAGTGGTCTTCCAAGCCAGACTTACAAGGTCCTCTGTGGGTCAGCCCAGGAGACTTGACGCTTTCAAGGAAACAACACTAATCAGTGAACGAAGAGAACTTCAAGGAGCTGCTAGTCCTTTCAACACAATTCCACCCGAATACTCATGCCAAGATGTAAATGGCATCTTTTCTGTAGGGGTTTCCCTGGGGAATCAGCTTGAAGCAAACACAGAGAAATGTGTAGAGTTTCATGAAGAAAGAACTTTTTAAAGATTAAAAAATAAAGTTTGATGCAAAAAAGGAGGCTGATTATGAAGTAATAATGTTCAAAGCACCTCTTAATAATATCTCTCTTTCAATAGCAATGCTAATTGCTAAAATCTGACATTTTTATTTCTTTTGCTTGAAAAAGTCGTCAGCCATGGAAATTGCATAGTCACCAGACCACAGATGAATGTCCTGGGTTAAGTCACAAGTTCAAGCAATTTTTGGTTGCTTGATGGCTTAACAGAAACCTTTTTTCCCTTTTTAAGAATGAAAGAATAAAGAATGATAAGAATGAAATATAAGCGTAGAAAACTGCACAGGCTGGAGAAGCATGTAGGTGACAGCTCCAACCCGTGACCCTCAGACTCACTTATAATAAGCTGGCAGATCACCTTCTCCTCATAAGATCCTATTTAAGCAGCTTTTGGTGGTCACTCAATTCAAACTGAAAAGTGGGGAGGAAAAGAGGAAGAAGAAGAAGAGAGAGGCATCGCGACATCGCTTTCACGAGATGCAGCATGCAATGCTTACGCCTTTGTGAGGCCTTTTCTCTGGGCAGCCTGGGTGGGTGAGTTGATCCTTCCTTGGAGAAGCAGCAAGCCTGAAGAGCAGCCTGTTTTTCTCTTCTGAATCACTGATGCGGGCACTATTTCTGAAATGAAGTCCATGGCCACAGAGCTCCTTTCGTTGCCTTATTTCACCCACCCTGCATGCTCCGTGCGTGTGCTTTGAAAGTTTACCACCTCATGCGCCTCGGCGGGGTCTTGGGGATTATACAACCGCATTGTTATCAACTGTTTTGTTGTTTTGGGAGGAGGTCATTGCATATTCAGCCCGACTGGTTCCATTCTCTTCTTTTCTCATTGGTTTCCTTGGGTGATCCCAGGTGATGTATAGGCAGGGTGGGGGGAGAAGAAAGGACAGAGATAAACATCTTCTTTTTCAATACAGATTGAAAGCAAGAACGCGTAAGGTGCTTCATAACACTGAAATTTTCCTTTCTATTTTCCCTTTCTGAACACAGGTCAAACCAGCAGTTAAATTTTGTCAAGCCTCATGATCCACCTGGATGATGAGGGGTCTGGTCCTAAGCCCTGTTGATGGGCTGTTGTTCTCCCCGTGCTAGCCTGTGTATAGATTCAGGCATGCACACTGCATGAGACAAAGGCTGCTAGTAGGAGAGCCCCCCACCACCACCTTCATCCCTGGAATGGAGGCTTGGGTGCTGGGTCAGGCCCTGCCCTGGGGCAGTCCTGGGCCTTTCTCCTCAAAGTACAACATCATTCAAACTGGGATGATGACCAGTTGTGTCCATTGAGGACCCAACTCACTCACCAGTCATCATAAAAACACCGTGTTTGGTCAGTACGAGAGAGCTCATCTGACCAGTGTACATCTGTGGTGACCACCCCAGACTACCTTCACAGGCAATGGAGAGAAACAGGTACTTTTAAAACACAGTTCAGAACAGCTTAAAGTGGATACTCAAAATAAGTCAGATGCTTTGCGCCTAACACATTCATATTTCTCTGCATTGTCTGTGAAGGAAGGCTAGTTTACTAGTGCAGACAAAGATGTCCATGTTCTAGGTGTCTATGTCAGTGACTGAAACATGGTGCCTGCTGTGATCTACCAGTCCTCCAGCACCAACCACTGAAGCATCCTCTTTTTATTTTGTTTGGTGGCCACTGGCACCATTTGGTAACACAGGCCAGGACCACCAATTCTAACTGTGAGGCAATTCAGGAAATGCCCAGAAAGTGCAGAAATCTAACAAGCATCTGCACACCATGGAACAAAATCATCTTATTTGGGATTTTAGAGTGACTCTGAAAAGGGAGACCTGAGCATAAGCCCTGTAACAGACCATGTTACATCATGTAAGTGTTTCCCCCATAACTTCTCTCCTCAGGAGTCATGTGACCTTTATTTAAAGCTGAAGTTTTACACATAGTAGAAGGAAAAAGCTTTGTGCTTTCCACACAGATATTTCATACATTAGTGCCTTGAGTTTAAGGCACTTCTGAGGGCAAAAAGAGGACCAGATAAACAAATGTAATACAACAGTCAGTCTGTGCTATTGTTCTTCACATTGTTTAACAAAGCAAACAACTATTAATTAAAAAATGGTTAATGACATTTTATTTCAGCAAAGTATTAGTGAAAGATTTATGGAGAATGATTACAGGAAGATAAATTTGTTTCGCTTATAATCTCAAAGAAAATATTTCTGATTGTGATATCTTAACGCTGCTCTTCAGCTGCTAAGAGTTAAGGCTTGTTAATATTAGCTGTGATTCCAGCTGTTAGAGAATGGAAATGCAAGGGAAAGGGAGACTAAGAGCTTTGTTGAACCCTTTTCCAGCCATTAACATGCTGTGCCTATCTGTATCTGACACAAACTCCTGCAGGTCTGTCTTTCATTACATTGTAAAGCACCCATCCACCCTGCCACATCCCTGACAAGAGGAATGGAGAATCTTATGGCAATAGTTTTAATTTTTTCCTGGGCAGGAAAAATGGTGCCTGGCTTTAAAATTCTCTGCTGCTTTCAAAAATTCTTTTTTTTTTTTTTTTTCCCCTCTCCTCCCTCAAGTTCCAATCCTGACAATCAGCTCTATGAATGGTGAAAAAATGAAGACATTTTGGTCACTTCTGCTTGCTGTTTGTCTCCTCTTTACCCTTTCTTTCTTTTGGTCTCCTGCGTGTTTCTGCACCTCTCCAGTTAAATTTTATTTCTGTCTATCCTTCCTCTTCTTTCTTAACTTTATAAAATGTCTTCCTCTAATTTTTATCTACATTTTTATTTTTTCTAGACGTGAGTTCAAGACTGACTTCTTCAGTCCTCCTGAAACTCCTTTTCCTTTCCTCTCCCTTTCTGCTTCAGTTTCTCTTCCCCAAGGGCAGCCACTTGCTCCTTCCTCTCCCCAGGCTGGTCTCACAGCACAGATCCAGCAGGTTTGGAGGCTCTCCTCTGATGGTGAGACCTCTCTGGAGACACTGCTGGCGAGGTTGGCAGTAATATTACACCACTGGCACCAGCATGCATTGGAAGTGCACTTTTTCAGAGCCTGCAAATAGTGGAATGGAGATTTTTATCAGAGTTCTGCTTCTGCCTTATCAACTGCCCAGGGTTAGTGCTAGCAAAACACAGCAACTACTTTCTTGGGTCTCAATGAAATGGCTATTTGAGGCATTTATTTATTTATTTTTGGCAGACACACAAGTTCAGGCTTGGAGAGTGCTCTTTTCAGCTCCTTCACTTGATTTGTTTCCACATGCATGTCAGACTTGGATTTGGGGTCAAACTTGCCTCAGTTACACCATTTAAATTACTGGTTTGACAGACTCGTATGCACTTGTCACAGGGATTAAAATTGACGTGTATTTAGATATGCAAAGTCATTTAGGTCTGTAGTGATTTTTAAACCACTCTTTTGCATTAGGGCACTATCTCTTTTTTGTGCTGCTAGCTCTGTGAGTCACTAGCTTCTTTTTACCTCAAATTTCATCCACTGTTGGGATCCCAGCATGTAAGTTTTTCTCTCACACACCAAGCGAAGCCCTTTTATCCTATTTTCTGCCTGATAAGCTAGGTTATGCATGATCTTCCTATGTGTAATACTCCAAGCCCTCTTTCAGCTGAAGTGCTATGGCCCTGCATTTATGCATTTCCATTCCAGGGTTGCTCTTCATTGGTAAAAGCAATGTTTCAAATTAGTGAGGGAATGAGGAGGAAACTGTTCATATCTGTGATATACTCACTTGGTGGCAGGCAAAACGGGCAGTTCGCTAACAAGTGGTTTGGATTGCTTTATAGTAAGATTTGCTACACATTGTGTTTTGATGTTTAGCAAATAAATTGGTGCACTCTTCATGCCAAATATCTGCAAATGAAAGGTACATGCAACTCTGTACAGCTTAGTACACGCCTGAAATGATGCATCAGAGTCCATAATGACCTCTCCACCATGCATGCATTAATTTTCATGAGTCCTAAAATCAAGAAAGGATCAAACAGCCACTCAGCAGTATATTTTACACATCAAGCTTCAATTTCATATGAGGTTCTGATCACATTATAAATCTTATTTATCAACTAAATTTATATTGGCTTGTCATATTGGCTTGTACCAGTTCTCTGCAGAGTCCTGTGTAAAGGTCAACGTAACAATGCACATTCAAACACAATTTGTATGTTGTCTTTAGAAAATTTCTTAGAGGACACATAGTTTTTGGCCCTTGATCATGTCTAGCCACAAAACTCAGTTGATATATTTGACAAGACCTCCCCTGCCAGCTTTGGCTACTGGTGTAAATTTGGCATAGACCTACTGTCTGCCAGGCAGTTGTGTGGTAGAGTACTAGGGGAGGGTTTCACCTCATGTCTCACATGTACACAGTTAAGAAAATCTCTATATATGATGTTTCAGACAAAATCAAGCAAAAGCTGAGCAAACTATTCATTCAATCAGGACTTTATTATGCCTCATTACTTATAGGCTTATTGAAGCGTTGAGGAGAATAAGATCACCTAGAAATGGGAATAGAAGTTTTGTCCAGGAGAATAAACTGCAACAGAATTTAAAAGACACAACGTAATCCACATGCTCATACTCTTCAAGGGGCTTTGTGCTTGGAAGGGATGAGAGTTAAGAATAAAAACTGATTTAATAAGACAAGCCTGAGTATTGCAAACCTGTTTCCTACTGCCTGCCTCCATAGCAATGTTTCTGTTGAGTGCCAGTGCACCACGGCCAGCATCTGGGAAGGCTGGGCCCCGAGGAAACCCAGCCAAGCTAGGAGGGAGTGACCTTGGGCTGGCGGCAGAGAAAGGAAAAGATCTTAAATTTCCCTCCTTCCGTGGGTCCCACACTTGACTCAACACTGCCAGAAGAAGTCTGCCTCCGCTTGCGATTTGCTGCCCTGGATTATCCTCTGAGGGCAACACCTATCCTGTTTCTTACAAAAGGGGCATAGAGTGTCATTTTTCTTCTGAAATGCAGTTAGAGGCTGAAAGGCCACTCCTCCCTCCCTGCCAGTGCACTGTTGGAGGAGATGCCCAGCTCTCAGAAGAGCACAGTGCAACTCCACTGTCCTGAGCAGTGGTACAACATTGTAAATGGTGCTTAAAAGGCACCTGCAAAAACACAGTGAAAAAAGAGATTTTACTGGCAGTGAAAGCTACCAGTCCTCTCTCTACTGCCTTTGTACACTCATACCTGTGCCAATGTACAAGGTACTTGTGCCAAAAATCCTTTAGTGTTTTCAGTTCCCCTCGTGAACATGCTTTTTCACTAACATGTACAGAACATGTTTGTCCTCTCAAAGCAGTTTCACCTCCAAGTGACTGTGACCATGAACCAAGCTGCTACTGAGCTCTCTGGGCAGCCTCGCTTTGCATGTCCCAGCACTGGGCTGTGCTATGGGGACAGACAAGCAGCCAGCAAGCTGCTCTACTGGCAAGCATCACCGTGGCTCGCCCGCCCCTCCTGCGCTGGCGGGGGTGGCAGGCACCGGTTCGTGCGTGTGCCTGCCGGTCCCTGGGGCAAAGCAGCAGAAGGGAAGAGGCAAATCAGAGAGCTGAAAATATATAATTTGTAAGTGCAACGACTTCAAAGCTCTTCTCCATACCGATGAATATTTCATTAGCTATCAACACATAAAAATTAATGACTTTCAATGAAACTGGGTCTCATATGGCACACCCATTTGCTTCATAGGATTGGTCTCTCCTGATGTGCCCCCAGCCCACAGCAGAAATATCCAAGCTACGTATATACCAGTAGAGATCCAACAGCAGCAGCATCTTCCTGGGTGTCAAAAGTTGTCCATGAAACAGGGTAAATACCTGGCAGGCATATTTTCATT